ACAATTATATTAATAAATAAAATTATACTAAATAAATACGTACATAATAAATACATGATATAAATAATATGTTTATAAATCATAATTAAGGTGTAATAACATTTTGATTTACGTGTAATTACTATATAAATGTGTTTAAATACCGTTGATTAAACATGCAGATATTTATCAGTTATAGTACTTGGTACAGAATAATAAATCAATAGATTTCGCAAAGGATCGAACAAATGGAGTGAGAGTTCAGTGGGCCAGTTTTTCCACGGTTCCACCAGTTAATTAAAAAAAATCGTAGGAACCTGTAGTTAATATTTAATAAATTATAGTGAACTATAAGGCTTGCCTGCAGTTCAATTTAGCTATCTATAAATCTAGAAGGTAACTATTTCTGTAATAGCAGACGTCTGCCTGCCCACGCAGCACTTAATGGCTCCATTTACTGTAGATACATTTTGTCATTAATGAATCCAATACTTTATACACAGGACATTGTAAAGTGCAAGGATTATGATTCTAGATTTTTTTAACACGAGATAATTCTTTCGATTATAACCGTTTCGTGATTTTAACACAGCGGTTATAACCAAACATAGGAAGCATGTAACATACAGTATTTTATTTATAAAATGCAGATTATACTTCAGTATATATAGCTTATATTTTATACTGACGTATAATCCGAATTGAAATATCATTGCATTAACATAAGTACTCTTAGAGATACTTAGTCCACAGATGAGGTAAGACCAAGCGCAATCCCATTATTAATAAAAAAAAAGAGTTTTATAATTAATTTTAATCAATTGTGAAATGTAACAATTTAACTTTATCACTAACATTTCTTAGTTTTAGAAACAGGTTTATTATTATTGTTTGAGTATATTAATATGTATATTATAAATTAGCTACAGTTACTTGGCATGTGTTGCGATGCCACATAAAGCAGTTGCGAGTAAGACAGTATTTAGATGTATAATGTCAAGCTACTCCTTCATAGATTCCTTACACATAGTGCAAATATAATTCATCAAATATTATTATAATTATATCGATTTTGTTAGCTCGCCCTTTTGGAGCATCTTAAAATATGTATCACATAATCAATTGATTAGGAATGCATATAGTGCTATTCATATTTAATTTATATAGTCTTCAAAACAAAAATTCTAAGTATACAATAAAGACAGAGTGATTGAAAATCGTAATTAAATAAAAATAATAAATGGCTAGTAGATCACACGGCGGTTGGTCGGGCATCGGTGTGTGCCGCGCCGCGCCGGCGCACCTGTCATCGTCACGCATTATAACCACGCAGCCATGTCACGTCGGCAGTCGCTTAGTGCGTATACATATCATACCTAAACCAATTTTAAGAACAAAAAGAATGTTCTACATAGACATAAGATTGGGCTCACATTACCAAGTTTTGACCCGACGACGCTGTATAATTGGCGTATAGGTTGCTAAATACTTTTTGAAAATGCGACTTATGATGCAAGCCTACTCTAAAAGATGGAGTTCTAAGGTAACACATCCTTTTTTTAAGTAAGTTCATTGAACACAATTTTATAGGTTTCCAATATGATTATGACAATTCATAATTGTCCCACTGCTAAACATAGGCCTCTCATGAATAGAGAGACTCATTAGTTATATTTTATCTGAAAGAAAGATTTTATCTAAAGAAATCAGTCAGTCATCAGTATATCAGTATTATTTTAATACTGCTTAGGATCTGAAGAAATCCTTAACAGTATTTTAACCTTTATCTATCAGCTTATAACATCTCGGCTCTACATTGATTTATAAGTTTGTTGCTTCAAGAAATAATCATCAGAGGTAGACTGTATAAAGTCCTCTGTGGTACCTCAATCTCGTCAATTTCTGCAGTCAAACAGCTTGCTTTGTAAGCTGTGAGGTGTGGGATTAGATAATCAAATTACAGGATAAAAGGCATTCTTTTTTTTTCATACTTCTTAGTCCTCTGGAATAACAACGCGTGTGGTATCACAGATAGATATAATAATGTGATGTATATACTACCTATAAAGTATCAATGTAAGTTGCACAGACTTATAACTGGAAAAGTAAAAACGTGTTTGATTAGTAATAATCCTCGTAAACACCACCACACAGACATCAAGTCATCATCGTCATTGCGTTGCAGAAAACAACTTGGAAAGATAGCTTCTTGGTCACTAAAATAAGGAAGACAGTGGTAGAGACAGATTTTATACAAAGTGTATATCGGTAAAATATTATGCTATCATTTGTATTTTCATACATTTTGAAAGGTGTCAAAACATTATAAACATTAAATATTTTGGCAGGTGTCCCACTCGATAGTACTACTATTATTATAGACCTGTACATAATAATGTAGAAATATTTACAATATTATACATTTATATTTATATTTTTTCTTACTTATGTCAGCGAGTTAATGAGACTTTTTACGACAATTTGTGTTTTGTCCTCTTAGACCTTGTTATGAAGAACTGTAAACTTTATTCAAAACAAGTTAACCTTCTATACTCTAGAGGATTATTAATAAAATATAACACTGTGTGAATAGTATAATATTACATTACACAACTCAAATAGTCCAGGAAATGTTTTCCGTTGTGGTCGAGATCGTTAAAAAACAAGTTTATTTTTTCCTTGCGACTGAGCGTAGCAAATCGTCCGATGGCCCTAGCTAGAGTTCAACTCGGTTGTAAACTCGTAACTACTCTCAATATAATGATGTTAAACTATTTGCTTACGTTGATCACTCTTTGTTTTATGAACGGCGTTATGTTTAATTATTAAATAAATAAAATTATCTGCTAAATAGAATTTAATTCAAAACAAGTATGTTTATAAGTAGGTATGTATTTGTATATCTAAGAAATCCGCGTGGAATACAAAAGACATTTTAATAGCTTATAATGCAGAATTGTTATTTACTATTTAAAGTATGCTACTATTAAGTAAGAGCATTTGACTATAAAACATGCTATATCCAAGAAGTCGTCTGTGTTTATTATAGATTTATTAAAATACCTGTTGCGTTTTCATTCGTAACCTATAAGCGAAACCATTCTTACTGATATTTAGAAATTGATTTCATGACAGAAAATTGTCTTTCGTGAAGGTAAAATAAATCTTGTAATTACACCTTTCACAGATCGTGGTTTTCATTAACATCATTTTTTTGTTTTTTCTTCGATTGACTAAACTTCCATCAATTGTCATTATCAGCTGAACATAATAAGATTACAAATATTTATTAATAATTAATTTATCATTCCAATATTATATACTAATACTAATAATAGTAATACGTGTCAGTTATTATTTATATACATTTTAGTAGTGTATAAAAAAAAGTGTATGACCAATGGGAAACTTCTTTCGTTAGCGATCAACTAAGTTACTATTTGAAATTACATATTTTGTAATTTATTTTGAACTTATCAAAAAAAATTCATAATTAGGAATTTTATACGAATTATTCATACCATGTTAAGTTGATATTATGGATTGAGATGTGATGATTGGCTAGAACAATAATAATATGTCAATTTTATGTATTTTGAGCATTTTCATTAACAGTATCTAAGTATACAATGTTATATCCTCCCGATACTCATTATATTGAAATTGGGTAGCAATGTGTGTTAATTTGTAGGCTAATTTGTAACTTCAAATATTCACAATGCAATTATGGTATTGATAGAATGTTTTCTATGACTTCCCAGCTTATCAATTAGATGTTTCCCAAGTATGTACGACCACAAATACGAAGATGTTATAATGTGACAGTAAACATGCTGAACCGGTTTTAGAACCTTTCTAACAAAGTTGACTATGTTGGAAAATCCCTCTTTTGTAGCGTGTTGTACAATGTTTTTTAAAAGTAATTGGAAATAAACTGTACTACAAACTACAAAAAGTACGCTCATTGTCATATAAAGCCAACAATATTGTCCAGCAAACAACTCGTATGTTGGGATATGTAAAATAGAGCTACGCAATTCACTGAATCTTGAGTGATTCCAATGGAGATGGAGAATTGCATCACGAGTTTACATGGTGACGCGACGGAGCTGACGCCGACGGCGACCGGCGGGTAATATTCGGTGGCAACGTTCACGCAGGAATTCATTTCGCCTCGAGAAGTGTCCGGTTTCAGTCTGGCACGACGAGCGCTCATATTGCATTTAGTATTTATTTATGTATCGGTCGGGCGCAGGTTCTATCGGAGTCGGCGGCGCCGCGGGCGGAGCGCGGCCCAGGGGGGCATACTTACTACGTGATTAATCCTCGTCCCCCCGCCCCCACACCCTGGTCCGTGGCCGGGCGCTCCGTACTCGCGCCGGGTTTCCTCGTCCCCGCTCCTCACGGCCACTCACTACGCACGGGGCGTCGGGGCTCCGCGTAGTGCCGCCGTCAGTCGCGCTGCGACCTGCGCCATAGTCGCATTACGTTCGTGTCTGACTTTTCGCGATATTCGTGATATCATTCATGTTAATCTCCGGCTGTTGATTTTCCTGCCGAGTGACCGCCGTGGAATCAGCGCGCTGTACCGTGAGTGCCGAATGTTCGTCACGCCCGTGTACTTTTCCATCGGATCCCGAGCTCGCGAAACCTGTTCGGTACGGCGGACATCGCCTTTCTTCGGATGAGATCTTCGAGTGGCAAGCGTTGCTGTGATCTGCGGCCTGCGATGCTGCGCCCGTGACCGTCTTGCGACAGTGCCACGAAAAGTAAGGATTACTATGGACCAGTCCTACTATCCGTTCATTCGGATGGTTCGCGTGTTCGAGCTGCCTTCCTATTTGCATGGCGCATTCGAGTGGATTTTATTTTTGTCTGGCGGCAGATGTGTGCGTAGAGCGAGTGTGTGTGAGGTGCGGTGCGGCTAGTGTGCGCGGTGGGTGTGTGTGCGCGTCGCGTTCCGCGTTCGCTGAGACGGCTACTCCCTGCTGGCCTGCTTTATTTAGGTTGTTTCTGAGCGTACCGGCAGCGCTAGGCCTGGCGCCCACCGCCACCGTCTCTCCAGTCCGTCTAGTCGCTGTCGGTCTCCTGTTACCTGTGCACATTTTAAATCTATGTAGAGCATCGTCTTCGTACCGATACGCAATAGTAAACAAATCGTTGTACTCATCGTGTTTTTAAATTGCTTATTCAAAAGTTATCTAGTTTTTCTAATTGTGGCGACAGCGCCGGAAGTGAATTGTAAATTCCATTTAAATGAATACCGTCGTGCAACATAAACGAAATGTTTACCGAAGCAAAAGGTAGGTACTGAACTGGCTTTAGATAAATCGAGTTAGATAATAAACTGATAGCGCTAATAAAAACCGGTTACTTACACGCTACTTGTCTCCAACACGTTTCTTGTCTATATATATTAATTCTGCAATTAAATTGGAAACTTACGACTTCGACGATATCTGCTAAAATGCCTAGTTAGAGAAAAGGCTGCGATGGGATAAAGATGATAATCGAGAAAACTCTATATGTAAAATTTTGATAAAAATGTAGCGCCCAGACGGATGTAGTGGACAGAACAGAACAGACTTTGATAGACCCACTTATTATTTGCTTTTTAAAAACCGAATATAGATTGAGAAAATACAATTGGATACACATGCTGATAAATTTGGTTTGTAATCCTAGTTAGTAGTTACATAAGTTTAATTTGAAAACATCTTAGGGTCAGCAAATTTCTTAATTTATAGATAGTTTATAAAAAAAAAGATCTATTATAAGTTAAGTCGGCATTCTAAGATAATAAACTACGACACGGCTCTGACTGTACATGGACGATTGTAATAGTGACTTGCAATGCAAACACTGATAGGTATGCAAATTATCACATATCGTAGGTAGTAAATACAAAGGTCGTTAAACAGGTTTTTTAGGAATTGCTTAAATTTGGCTTGATAATACAACTACATATACAAATAAATAAATATCACATGCATGCTTTGCTTTTGGTTAACTAACGTCTAACTATTCAATCATTTATTGCAGTCATGGTCTAAATCTAGCAGTGGAGTAGTCACAGGCGAGATCACGATTCAGTCATTTTAATTATCTACACGAAAATTTATTAATAATTATTGAGAATATTGTGTAAATTTTTAATAAATTTTGTGGAATGTCCGTAATTAATGTGTCTAGTCAAAAACTTACACTAAACATACGTATAGTGAAGCTATCATTCCTTCTCTCAAAGAAAATAGGTAGTACATAAAGTAGTCATTAGTCTCTCTGTCTGACATGACGTTCAGTCTTTCGTGGTATCAATTCTTTTTAATTTGTTTCACATTATAATTTAGTACAACTTATTTTCTCATCTCATATCAATTTTAATATCTATTTTCTAGGAAAGTCTATATTGAAGTAATTTTTTCAACGACCTTCATGGTTTCTATTACTTTACATCCTTATCTCTTTTCCATTCGTTATACCTACATTGCACAGTTACTTTTAGTTCCTTCTCATTTCTTTTAATAACCAAACTTTACGTTTACGTCTACTGATCCACTTGTATATACTTACATTTATCTCCTATTCAAGGACTTCTTAAAATTATGTTTCTAATATTCTCTGACCTTTATTCATCTACATTTTTCTCGTCTATAAATATAAAATATACATCATGATTGTTCTGTAAATTTGCATACACTGTTTATTTATTACTTGTATTAGTAATGTTTTACTAATTATTATTTTCTATAGATATACTAATGTAGGTATTTTTCGATGATAAAATTGTCTTTAATTCCTTGTTTACGTATTTGTAAAGTAATATCAAATATTGTAGATAAAGTTGTTAAAAATATTTTAATAATAGATTATTATTTTATTCAATTTTTATGTTATTTATAAATTCATTTTATATCCGTATATTTGTTAAACAAGTAGTTTTTGTAGATTAAATCAAACATAATTTACGATTTAACCGTCATTTTTTTACGCGTTTCATACACTTCGTTATGACTCGTCTTCACAGGTGTCAGCAAAATTCTTTGTTAAGTTTCACTAGTAGGTATACCATTGAAATATATGCAACAAATTAAAATTTCACCAATGCTAACTTCTTTTATACAATGCGACAGTTTTAAAGAGCCGTCGTCTTCCAAGAAAAGAGTTTCCCTTCTTCATATTATACCATCTAATAAATAGTTGCATAAAATGTAGTTTTACTTAATTTTCTTCTCTGAACGCTCAAGTCTATGTGAGTTATTAACTAACTTTCCTATGATTACAGGATTCTTTAATAAAGAACCTAAACACATAAATCTTCGCCCAACTAAAAGATAATCAAAATAACTACATTATCTACTAGTACTCAATTTACTATAATACAATGTAAGTTATATTGTAATTAATTATTTAAAATTAGAACAAATAGGAAAAGTACAACAGTGACGCGGTCGGCAATAAAGTACTGATGATAAACTTCGACCCTCGAGTACGTTGCTACATATAATTACAGTAGTCACTTCATCGTACTTGCCTCAAGGTTTAAAACTAAATAATAAGCATAAACTTTTGTTACAATATTCTACAATCGTACTACACTATCAATAGTTTGCTAAATTTGTACTGCACTAATGAGTCATTGTATCATATTTGTTTCTACTAATCATTAATGTGAGTACGGTTAAAATTCTCGAACCTACCGAAATCTACAGTTATTTCTATTATACATAAATTTTGCCAACAGTTATTGAAAGTATTAATAAAATTATATCAAATATAGCTACAGAGTAGTGATGAGCATTCTAAACGCCTAACTTGTGCAAGTAAAGTTGTTGTAAGTATATTAGTTCTATTTCTAACTCTGAATCTCATCTACACCCGTGCTGTTTTTGTCAATTTTGGTTACTAAAAATAACTAACAGAAAGACATTCTGATCATATAAAAAATTAAGGATTACATATAGTAAAAAGAGTTATAATATACACTTTGAGAAAGTGGTCATATTACTGTTAGTACTATTACTGCGTCTTAAAAAGTTATCTTAGGTACAGTATTGTGTATTAAAAAATATACATATATAGTTTTTTCTACAATCTGTAGCAGTATGGAGTCCGTGCTCATTATCAGTAGTACTGTACGTAGCTTAATATGCTATCCGTTAAAATACAAATAATAATTCGAAAACAAATATTTACTGTTTTCATTTACTATACATGCATCAGCCTAAATACGTGGGAAGCGTTTAAGGTAATGAGTTTACTTCAACGTTAGCTCTGAATTGACTTGATAATTAGGATATACGCACCTCAGCTTTTCTTTTGGGATCAAATATCAATAGAATCCGTACAAAATTAATGTATTTTGTATTAGGTACGGACTAGGAAAATTCCACGCATGGTATAACACTAAAATTGGTTACAATATTATTTAGATATTACATGCTAATTAAGCGTAAATATGAGTAAAACAAAATAAACATTATTCTACTATCATTGTTTATTACAAACCATATAATGGACATCATATTTTGTCATGCGGTTTTTCCTTATGTGGTAGATAATTAAACTATAATATAGGATTATTGAATATCATCTATGGGATTAGGTATATGTATATAGGATAGTTTTCCCGAAGTTCATATACTGAGATTTGTTTTGCCAAACGCCTTTAGAGTTGTTTGCAATAAATTATAATCACATGAACGAATCCATAGTAATAATTGTCACTGTATGTTAACAACTACTTATTAATTTAACTAGTGTGTTTTTGTACCAAAAATGTAATATTTTTTAACTGTTATCATTATGCATAGGAGCGTTATTTAACTTTTCAAAATTATTATTTATACTTGGGAGATGCGTGGTGTGTACTTTGCTTGGGTTGAACGATATATTATTATGTAGGTACATATGTCCACCTCGAATAATAAACCTTCGAAATAAAGATTTTTCAGCTGCAATGGTTTCGGTGATTCTCTCTACAAACATACTATATTCGAACTCTCTATTTACTTATAATACTATATTGTGGATATTATTGTATTGTTTATTTTGAATGTTGAATGAACGCAAAGACTTTGTACTTTAGATATTTGAATGGACGCTATTGCTATTTAAACAATATTTATTAATACAGTAATAATGTTTACTAATAGGTACAATCCCTTCTGTTTGTTTGTAAAGTGTTCTGTCTGTTCTCTCGTCTTAACAATTAATCTTTAATAAACAAACAGTTCGATGTTACTGTAGGCATATTGTCTATCGAACTATGTATATTATGTTTTCGTTATTTATCAATTACTAACCTTCACCTTTGCTCGGTACCTCGGCAGTTCTTGGAAGAAATCGTTAAAAAGATCCAAATATTCTAGAATCATGACAGAAACCTGTCCAATAATTGTATGAAAACAACAAGTTAAAGAAGTAAAAAGGAACAAATAGAAATGCTCAAATATAATTCGAATTAAATATGACGACACAGTTGATTATAACTAGTACTCGATTGTAAGATGGTAATAGGAGGAGAGATGGAGAAAACATCTTCACTTATTATTCATTACAATGTTTAATGGAAGTTAGGTCACAGCTGGATTTCTCTTTGAAAAGTAGACAACCGTTGTATTGTACATACTTCCTTTTGTAGAGAATTATTCGTTCTGTTTTATTTTTTATTTGCATGGAAGTAGTATGTTATGGTAACAAAATTGTATAAATAAAACAATCTTAGTGTGAATAATAATCTAAAAGCCACTGGTATTGTGTTAAAATTATTCTCAAAGAAGATATGAAAAATATTTTTAAAACTTAGGCAATAAATATCACGAAAGGACTGTGGAAAGCTGTTAAAAATATTGTAGCCTAAGTACCATCTGTCTATATAAATTTCCTACTTTTATATAGGTATACGATGCTATTTACATTAAGCGTAATTCATTACGCCACATTGGTTGTCCGACGTAGTTGTAGGTCTAAACATTAATTGTAGATTTATCTACTATGTATTTTGTACCTACATATGCATAGATATGTCTTATCAAACAGAGATAGCGTGTAATTTACTCCACAAACGTAAATAACTCTATCAATATATTTATAATTACAAATCATGAATTTAATATATTATTAGATGGGCTTCGTGCATTATTTGTATTTAAATAATTTCTTTTTTTCCCTTTTATAGGCATTCGACGGTGGCCCAGATATTAAATTTACTGGATATTAGTTTAAAAGAAAATAAATTTATTGTTATATTGAACAAACCTTTTTTTCTCTGAACAATAAAGAAATTTCTTCTCCTAACTCT